CGGGTGAGTCAATATGTGAAAGTCATAAAATATATAAATACCAAATATGTTTACAATAAAATGGACAAGCCATATTGGCCTGATTGTGGATTAAAAAAAAAAAAAAAAAAAACAATAAGTTAATATACATAAATCAGCTGATCATCCATAAAACTAAAAAACTAAAAAAATGGTGAATAATTTAACTAATTCAGAAAATCAGTAAGGAACCAATTTCAGAGTAATTTTTAGTGATAGAAAAAAATATATAAGAAAGAGGACTAGGATAGTTTGTAAAATTATAGAAAGAAACTAGTCCAAATGGGAACCAACAATTATAAATATAAATTCAGATTATGATAGAAGACAAATACTCTGTATAGTAAAAAGTTATAGATATTAGAAATAATTTGAGAAAAGTTAAGATCAGAAGACACTAAGTAAATAATATAAATAGAATATTTCAAGTATACTGAGTCTTCAAATAATCAGAAAACCAGTCTAACAAATTGTTTAAAATATGCAGAAGATAAAAACATAAAGAGTCAATATATAATAGAGATAAAGAAGAATAGAATATATAAAGTTTTTTATCTAAACACAAGAAAATTCATGAGAAGAGTCCAGTAGTTAAATATTCCAAGTTTCAAAATAGTTCTAGAAAGAACAATAAAAAAAAACAATTTAAAATAATTACAAATCTAATCTGAATAGTAGAGTAAGTTAAGTAGATATAGAAGATTGGAAAGAGCAGATCATTATAAGTAATATAAAAAAAGAAGCATATTAAGACCACCTAATTAAAATATTCCAATATAATTAACAGTCTAAAGAAACATTAATCTTTTATTCTGATAGATCTCTTATTGATTATAGAAGTGAAAAAAGAAAGATAGGAGTAGTATGAATGCAAATAGAAGATAAAGAAAGTAAGCTTCAAATATAAGAAAGTAATTGGTTATCATTCACTAGAGTAGAACTAGTAGCAATAGTCACAATATTACTAGTTGTCCCAATAAACAATAAGATCAAGATTTTTATAAATAGTTAAGTTTATATTGTCAAGTGAAAAATAATAGAGAAAGAGAATCTCAGAAGAATTTACAAAAGATAGTTGAAGAAAAAGAACTAGTTTCTGTAGATAAAAATATTGAATATTATTAAAAAGAGCTGAATTTGAAACTGATCAAAGTTAAAGTATACTCTAATGATCTATACAATAAAGAAATAGATACTCTAACAAAGAAAGTTTTAATAATTCCTATAATCAAATAAAAAAACTTTACTTTATTCAAAATCATTACCAAATTCAAATGTCATGAAATAATTTTAGATAATTTCATGAGATAGTTTATTAAAAACATGAATAGCAAAGTTATAGCTCATTAATGAACAAAACAAAATATGATTTTAAATAAATAGAACTAACAGATTTAAGATTAATATGACTATATATTGGATTTGATATAAGAAAGGATAAAGAATGAATACACTTGGAACACCTTTATAGATTCTCAAGAAAGAAACTTTTTATTAAATTAATTAATGAAGAGTTATTAATGCTTCTCAATTAACTATAAAAAGATCAGATTTATATAAACAAGTAAAGTATATAGTATACAAATAACAAGTAGAAACAATAGAATATCTATTAAAATGTTTAGCATATAAAATCAAATAGTAGGAAATATGGAATAAAAAAACTAAAGGTATTCTAAAAAACTTTCAAAAACTTTTATATAAGAGAAGAAAGAGACAAAAAAGAAAGAAATAAGGCTTTTGGTTGAAAACAAAGAAGAATTAGGAGAATTGAACAAATATATAATCAAGTTTATAGAAGAAACTGTAAAAACAGATCAAAATATGTTAAACTTTTATATAGAACTAATATAAAGTAATTAGATATGAAAATATCAAACCTAAAATGTTACCAGAAAAGAATAGGTAAAGAAATCCAAAAGTGAATAATGAAGATATAAATAAAAGTTTGCAATTAATTTTGAATGAAGATTTGAAATAAAAGGTACTCAAAAATGATCAAGTGGAAACAAGTATAAGGGATCTATAGAAAAAACAAAATAAAAGATCAGCTGATTCTTTAAATTAGAACAACAAAATCACAATTACAAAAAGGTTTTTATAGGAAGAAGAAAAACTTAAAAATATGAATCCAAAAAGAGTTTTTCTAGAAAGAGTAAAGTATAAAATAAAATGGTTAGGATTTTAACTTCTGCTAGAACTCACAAGAAGAATCTATAGGCAATAAAATTAGTAGTTGAAAGAATTTTCACTTGAGTTACTAATGAAGTGATAAATCACTTTCAAAGTTGTATTTAGAGTAGTAATAATCAAGATGAGTGAACTAATTAAAGATTTAGTTTTAGTAATTCATTTTACATATATAGTATACTAATGTTTAATAAAGTATGCATAATTAGCTTAACAGAAAGTAAAAAAAATAAAAAAAAATAATAATAAATTTTTTAAAGCAATTAATAGTATAAACTATTAATAATAACCCTAATAGATAAAGGTAAATTCAATTTAACTAGAGAAATATAATATTGTTTTCAAAATTGAATTTATAGTACTTTCGTATAAAAATAGATTAGTTATATTATAAAAAATCTATAATTATTTTATATCTTTAATTTTTATTTATTTATTTTTTTTTTATATTTCTAAGTTCTTTTTTTAAAAATCATCAATTTGTAATTAAATTAATTATAGTATTAAAATTATATATAACAAAAATCTTGCATCGTTTTTTTTATTTATCAAGAAATCTTTTTTGAAGAATCCATTAAAACTCTTTATTTTATTTTTTTTTCAAATAATAAGTAATCTTGATACAGTATACACATAGTTTATATTTGATAGAAAAAAAGTTTGTTCCTATAATACAGTATATTCTATTTTTTCAATGGATTTCAACTTTTTTTGTATTCTTTGTTAATTAAAAATCTAACACCTAATCCTCTAGACTTATTTTTGTTGGAATTGTAAAAGAACTTGTGTGTAGTTTGAAACTTGAAAGCAGTTTCTTTAATTAGTTTTGTTTCACAGATTCACAGAATATCGATAAATCATAAGTTTCAATAATATCAGAATCTTTATGGTATATCATTGAAGCTACCAATATTATGATCTTTTGTCAAGCACATCATATACTGTATGTCAATCGGAAATAATGATAACTACTATGTACAAAATATTCGCTATGTAACAACATACAATATGGTTGCTTAAAATTGAATTTTCGAAATTACGCTAGTTACGTTTATTACAGTCATAGAAGAATAATTAGAAACCCTTTCAACCCCAACGCTATATTTAGCCGGAACAAACAATGCAATAAAGATGTCTAGAATCTAGATGAACTACCGCTATTGCTGCTGCTTCCGGTTCCCGCATCAAACTCTTTGCCAACGTCCACCCAATTGTGTTCAATTGATACTTCGGCTTCTCTTCTACCATTATCGTCATCCTGCTCATCATCCAAGGTGTTGAAATACTGTTTGCATCGCTCAACTATAAGTTTTCCATGTTGAAGGAGAAAAGGACTCATTTCCTTCATTAGGGCTTTCATAAATTGCGTGTTGGCTATAAACACACATAGACCAACCGCAATAAATATGTAACTCCAAGGAACGATCCACACAGTTAAACAAAGTACCACCGTTAATACGGTAACAGCCTGCGTTATTATTAATGTCTCGTATTCATTGCTCCAGTCCACGTGCTTAAGCAAAGGTACGACTGCATCGTATCCTTCGGAAATCAAGCCCATCAGATTTTGGATATTTTGCATGTTTTTAAGGTAATCTACGGAGTTCTCAGGTGGTAGGTATGGATCATAATGCTTTGATTTGCGAAATCTCATGCGCCCGTGTTTTCCATTTTTCATTGTTGGCAGACCATTTGGATATCTCTTTTCGTAATAATAAATCAAAATTGCGAGTAGAATGACAGGTGGAATGAGAAATAAAAGTTTTGGATATAGACCTGCAACATAATTAATTAAATACTTTTAAATTTTACTTTTTTAAACACCAAATCGAAGAACACAAAACTTACATATATAAACATAAATCACCATGGCCAATAGGGTATTTGATGAGCTTTTCCACATTATAATATCTTCAACAGCATCTTGAATGGCAAAAATAAATCCGCATTTTTGAACAAATTTTCCAAAATTTGCACTAATCAACTGCAGATTTAAAGGCGGATGAGCAGGATCTGAGGGCATCTTAGGTGCATTTGCTACGTTGAGCGCCGAGGACACAAGGAATTCCTGAATTGTTTTCGTGCCGAATGATGTTTTAATTGGGGAAACTGGTTTTGCGGCTCTCGGCGCAATTTCGGCAGCATCAGATAACCCTTGAATATTCGCCAAAGTCGCGTACGATTTTAGCGGTCTCGGTGCTTTTGACTTATGATCAGAATTTGCGGAAGAAAAATCGGTGAAAGAATCGAATGAATTCGAGCGTCGTAAAGTACTTGTAGGGGAAATTTTATTCTGATCGTTGTGATCGGATAATCCGCCATGATCGTTACGATGATCATCTGAACTCGATTCCATCAAATCAAATGATACGGTACGCGCTGGTAAGGACCCGGTAGTCATTGTGACCGAAGATCTCGATCTTGTTGGTCTTATTATGGGTAAAGGTGATACTTGATCAAAATCCGATTTCTCATAATTAGATCTAGGATTATGGTCTATATAATCTAATCGCGATACGTTCTTACTAACGTCACTACCACCTACGGAAGAGCGCCTGTTTTGATTGAAGTTTGAAGAATTTTTCGATGCGTCACAATACGAGTTTACCAAATCTTTGCATTTATAATGAGCGATATAACCACAACCTATTTAATAAAACAAAGGAATGATAACGGTTTGAATTTAATAGAAATTTGAAAGTCTAAGGTAACGAAGTCGTCGTTCGAATTCTTTTTTTTTTTTTTTTTTTTACCTTTGCAACAAACTCCTTGTCTGGTTAGACCCCAAAGTACTTTATTGCAATAATCGCAATAGGTAATCTTCGTAAAGGTTTTTTCTTCAAAGAAGTGGGTTGGTAACAAGGGAGGCATCATCAAAAGAATGTGACAATCACGTTCACCTGTGCGATCGCATTATGTATCGGTTACAAGTCACCTGATCTGACGTGTCTTTTTAGTAACTGGCATAACTGGCAAACTGATTTTTCGCACTTTTGATCACCTCCATTTTCTTGCTAAGATGCCTTTCTTGATATCTCTAGACGACAAAGAAAAATGTGGAAAAACTTCTCGTCTTATAAAAATAATAAATGGCCGTTTAGTTCGTGATCACAAAATTGTAGAGGACGACGTACTTTACATATGCAACGGAAAGATAATTGATTCACAAGACTATTTTTTCTCGGCTAATGGCGGAGTTCCCGACGAAGTAATTGACGCCCGAGGATTGCTGATCTCTCCTGGATTTATCGACGTGCAAATTAATGGCGCGTTTGGTGCAGACTTTTCGGATTGGCAAGGAGAGGAGCGTATGAAACGCGACGTGGATAAGGTGGCGAAGGGATTGTTGAAATATGGGTGCACGAGTTTTGTTCCGACGATGATTAGTTCGAAGCCGGAAGTGTATCAAAAAGTGTGTGGCAATCGAATTAAATCAGATTGTTCGATTAAGATGATTTCTTTAATACTTTCTCAAAAATAATTCAGGTGCTTCCGACCCTCAAGCCACGCAAAGGAAATAAAACTAATGGAGCAGAGATCCTAGGTTCGAAATCTCAAACATCGCGCCTTATCTAGAGTAAATATTCGTTTACAAAATGTCCGACTGCAAATATAATCTAGGTGCTCATCTCGAAGGTCCTTTCATACAACCAAGTCAACATGGCGCGCATGAAGTATCACACCTTCGGTCTGCACCAAACGGGTTCTCCGATTTCGTTGACGTATATGGGTTACGCGAAAATAAATGTCAAAACGTCAAGATGATAACAGTGGCACCCGAGATCGAAGGAGTCTTGGACAGTATGGAAGATTTAATTCGGAATGGAGTGACCGTCAGCATAGGTGCTTCTTTGATCATACGCAATCAGCCTAGAATCTTTGATTAATTGAATCCTTTACAGGACACTCATCGGCTACCGTCGCACAGGCTGAAAGTGCGATTGAGAAGGGGGTAAATTTCGAATCAAGCCTAAACCAGTCACCCACGTCAATAATGGTATTACCATAAAACGATTTTTCTTTTTTAATGCAAATAGGTCAAGTCCATTACGCATCTGTTTAATGCGATGCAACAGGTAAATGAGAAAAGATATCGAATTTGAATTCACAGGGTTCCAATAAATTTTCTTTTCTTTCTTCAGTTTCACCATAGGGATCCGGGAATCATTGGTGTGTTAGGTACCACCCGTATACCCAGGCCGTTTTATGGAATCATATGTGACGGCATCCACGCGCATCCGAATTCCATAAAGATTGCTTATGACTGTCATCCTCGTGGTGCGATTCTTATTACCGATGCCATTGCAGCTATGGGTTTACCTCCGGGAAATTACACTTTTGGTAGAATTCCCATTCGCAAGATAGGCGATGATAGGGTCGAGGTCATAGAAACTGGAAAACTTGCAGGATCGGTTATTACCATTGACGCCTGTGTCAGGAATTTTAGGAAGTTTACGGGATGCTCGATTGTTGAAGCCATAGAAGCAGCAACCTTACATCCGGCTGAGCTTTTAGGAATACAACACATCAAGGGTACACTTCACGCGGGCGCGGATGCTGACTTGGTGTTTCTGAATGACGACCTTAAAATTATTAAATGTTTCATAGCTGGAGAGGAGGTTGACATTTGATTTAATTGTTCGTCATCTTGAAATTCTTTTTCCAAGAACGCGTTATTTCCTTATATGTAACAAATCACCGGGTTAAAAATCACGTCACGTAGTAATATGTATAATTTAGAAAACACGCGTCTATTTAGTCACATGCGCATTATGTAACTGTTTTATGATTTGACCACATGATAAAAGATATGAACATATTACGAATGCACATCTAATTATTGCTAGTCGCTTCAACATGAGTTCAACGTCGGATCACGATGCACTTGTTGACATGGGCTTTCCGGCAGACAAGGTGTAAGTACAAAGAGTACAAAGACCTTCCACGCAACTCCTACATACGCGCCTTCACTTGATCATACCATGAACATACGTTACCCGAATAAAAAGAATGCTTCTTATTCATGACTTACTGTAGTGCCCGTGCTCTGAAAGCTACGAAAAATGCAGGTCTACAACCCGCAATGGATTGGCAAGTTGACTTCTCATTCGTGAACGTAAACTACAATATCAAGGCTTAACTCTTGGCGATTACTCTTTTGTCTCAGGTTACTTTCTCATCCCGACGATCTCGATGAACCAGTAGAAGGAAATTCCTTAGGTGGCGAACCATCAGGAACTTCATTAAATGAAGATGGTAAATATTGTTTAAAGATTTCTTATCCATTTCTGCTTCGTAGGTATAATTAATGAGGACCTGTGTTTCCTCTTTTAAGAGGGAGAAATCCAAGATGGGGAACAGACCGCTCAATCGTTGAAATGCGATGATTGTGAGAAGCTATTCCGCGATGGTGAGAAGTAAAAGTCTTATCACATTTTTACTTAACGTTTGTAACTTTAATCATTGACCTTAATTTACTTTCTTTCTTTTTTTTTTTTTTCTTTTTAGCAAGTGCCGCAGAACGTCATGCGACCAGAACTGGTAATTTATAAATTCGTATGGTGAATAATAATAATAATAATGACGATTTATATGCATATATACTGATTGACTATGTGTGCTGTACTAGGTCACGTAAACTTTTCTGAATCGACCACGGTTATCAAACCGCTGACGGAAGAAGAAAAAGCTGAAAAGTTGGCGGAACTGAAGAAGCGTATGGCTGAAAAACGAGAGTTGCGTTTACTTCAAGAAAAGGAAGAGGAAAAGAACCGTGAAAAGATCAGAAGGAAGACGGGTAAAGAATTAACGGATGCTAGGGAAAAGATGGAAGAGAAAGAAATGCAAAAGGCGTTATTGGCAAAAAAGAAGGAAAAAGAAGAGGAAAGGATTGCTAGGGCTAAAATAAAGGAACAAATTGAAGCTGATAAAAGGGAACGAGCCGCAAAGGTATTGTTTCTATGAAATTCTATATTCTTAAGGAAATGGATTCATTTTTGATAAGCGTAGTAATCTTCTTTTTTTTCTTGATTGAATTAGCGTGAAGCTGCAAAACAAGCAAATCTACAACATCAGCAAGAAGAAGCTGCTGCCGAAGCTGCCAGATTAGCTCAGGCATCAAAGGCATATACTGAAACGCGGTTGCAGGTTTGTTGCTGATCATTTTTTTTTGCTGTTAAACATAATCGACTTTTAACTAAAACTTACATCAAATATTAAATTTATACGCGTCTAAAGATTCGACGACCAGATGGTCAACCTATCACTCATACTTTTCAATCTACCGATACATTACAAGTAGTGTTTGACTATGTTAGTCAACACGTTATTGGTCCATTCAACCTCATGACGACGTTTCCAAGGTAATTTTTCGTGTAGAAATTAGTCATATAGGATAATCACTTGACGATGCGATCTATTAATTTATCGTAACAGAAAAATTCTTGGTGATTCCGAAATGGAAAAAACCTTAAAAGAACTAGGTAATTTGATCACATCGCTTATATTTTTATCGTCATTTGAGCCTAAAGATTTTTTTTTTTTTTTTTTTTCGAATTAGATCTCGTTCCTTCAGCCGTTTTGGTAGTATCAATGTCATAAGTATATATCCATTTTATTTAGTTTCGTTGCTTCTTTTTTCTTCACATGACAAAAGACATAATAAACTAGATCTCTTCAAATGAACTCCTTTTTCATTCATATTATTTCCGTGTGATATTATAATAAACAAGAAGTTGAAACCGGGTATGTAAAATAAAAATATATGCGTATTAGGTATATATAATAATATGTAGATTTATAAGAATAATTATTTTCCCTCGTGATTATAATAACTAGTTATAGATTAAATGATATTGATATTTACACCGCTTTTTGTATTGACAGTTTTTTCAACGTTGGTGAATAAATCTTCCATGAAGTCCATTCTGTACAATAGATAATGACTACCACCTTTAATAGTGTTCAATTTAACATTACTCATTCTATTGCTCATATACAGCCAGGCTTGCAGTGGTACGTTGTCATCCTCATCGCCCACATAAGCTTCGACCGGGTAAATTGTATCCTCATAACGAAAATCCCAATCGGCCTTCTCTAATGCTACCATAGCATCAATGTGAGCACCAGTTCTATTTTGTATATTCCAAAGACTGTTCGCGTAAATTTCCTTGTGTATAAAACCTCTACCTAGTGAGAACGTGTAATCATGATCTGACGACTCCGAGTCATCATCGGCAGATGAGGATGCGGAACGTGACGATAAACCCAGAGTATTCCACATATTGAAGAAATTGTTCATGTGCGGTAGAGTGCTAAGCGTTGTGCGTATAAGAAAATTTGGGGCGAATTTCGCTATGTCTTTAAACGAAATGATCTTTTAGCTCAGAATTATCGCATTGAAACTAAACGATCAAGCAATGAATGAATGAATACCAACTTCTATAATATCTTAAGTGTCCGGGAGTTTTTGTGGATAACCAAGGACTAATCATAAATATAGGGCCTTTAATTCTCTCCGGAAAATTAAGGGAATAGGCCAATCCATAGACTGCACCCAAGGAAAATGTAACGAAACCGAATTGCCACATTTTTAATATTAACGTCAACTCATTTATCATATCAGCAAATTCGAATAGGTCGGGAACACCGGGCTGTGAATAAATGTCATCACTATCATTATACCCCGGTCTATCGACCGAAACTAGCCTAATGCGATGCCTCTTGGCAATTTTGTGATATAGTAGGATGGACATTGCAGGACCCATATTTCCTAGAAAAATTTTCTAATTAGTTGAAATAACCAGAGTACGAATAAAAGCAATAGGTGATACCACCAGAATAGATACCTGTAAACCAAAGTACCGGAAAACCATTGGGATCTCCCACTTCGCAAACACCTACCTTTTTACCGCAACTCGCAAGAGTAATGACTTGGTGAGAAAGAGGGCTATTTAACAATTTCTTTGCTTTCTTTAAACTCATGCTATACTCAAACATGTCGTCCTCGGAATCACTTTGACTCGTGGTATTACATGCAAACATTTTTTATTTTATGTCTAAAAAAGAGTGGAGGGTGGTTTAGGAGAGAAACACGGTGCAAGGGAAAGAAGTATATATATACATATACACCTCTAAGAGTATTAGAGGAGAGAAAGGAAGGTGCGATCAACTTTACAAACAAAAGTTATGCGTGTCACTCGAAATTAATATAACAACCTTCCGAGTATGGTAATTTACGAACGCACGTGTCCGAACAATAACCAAATTGTCGCTATCTTCACTCGGAAGGTCGTACCGAGATAAAAATAGGCAATAATAGTACTAACCGATCTAATTCTTAATAGCCAAGATCCATTCATTTTAATAAATTGTAACCTTTTTTAGGATTGCCGTTCAAGAAGTCCGACACCAATAAATGTTTTATGGATATTTGTTATTCGAACCAAAAATAATTTAATCGACACAATTATTAGTAACAAATTTTGAAAATCAATATACAGTAGAAACAGAAAGAAATTATATTTTTTGATAATGGTATGGGTCCTAACGATTCGATTCGATCGATGGGTGGGTGGAATAAAATTTAATAGGTGGAGTATATGGCATGCGAGTCTAATTTTAGGGTCATTACATCATGTGGACAAATAAATTTATAATATTGTACTAATATTAATTTATGATTGTATATTATTAATTGAAGTTACTTAAAAAATATAAGTTCACTAAGTTAATTTGAATTAAACAAAACAAAGTTTAAATTAGATATTCTAAATTAAATTTAAGAAATAATATATTACTTTCTTGATAAATTGGTACTAGTTTTTTTATTTATCAAAATTATCATCAACAATTTTTTATTATAAATTATTTTAAATGATTAAAGGAAAAGAAAAAAAAAAAAAGATTTTTATTTAACTAATATCAGTTGTGGTTTAAACACAAAAAAAAAAAAAAAAAAAAAAAAAAAAAAAAAAAAAAAATTTATTTAAAAAAAAAAAAAAAAAAAAAAAAAAAAAAAATTTTATTAAAAAAAAAAAAAAAAAAAAAAAAAAAAAAAAAAAAAAAAAAAAAAAAAAAAAAAAACAAATCTTTTCTTGTAAATAAAGCAAGGATAAGCCAGTTTAAAAAAAA